TGATGAGGCAGGTTCCTTAAGCTTAAGCAGTTTATTAAGACAGAATGAAGATGTTACAGAAAGATGTTTGACACGGCCGGTTCAGTGTCTGTCTGTGTCTGTCTCTGCCCCCCCTGAGGGAAGCAGCCCCTTTATCTATGGTCTTCATACAGACTCCTGGAGCTGGGGGGTCAGACGGCCTTGGTGAGAGTAAGTTGTATGAGAGGCAAAGAACATGATGAGCGAGTAGCAAGGACAGAAAGAAATATAAAAATAAGAAATATGAAAGCTATAAATTAATGAACTAAATGAACATAATTAAATAACTACAGATTAACTAGGGAAATCCCTCAGTGGAGAAATGCGAGTTCCATGAGCATTCAGTCTCATTTTTGGGGTGTGTATTGTCTCAGGACTCAATTCAGATGGACCCAGACAAGGTTGGAGAAATCACTCACTGCCCTCAGTGCTTCCTGGACCGGCCGTTCATTCGTGGGTATGTTACCATCGCCGCATCACTCACTGCTCTCACCTCTCCAAAGATTACTTTTCAGTGGATGGAGGCAGTCCAAGCAGCCTTCTCTGTCAAGGCGTCGCTTCATGTTAGCCCCCATCCTGCAGACACCAGATCCTTCGAGATCGTGAAGGTCGATGCCTCTGAGACTGGGTTAGGGGGCTGTATTATCACAATGATGTCCACACAATGGTACATTACTCTCCATGCCTTTTTCCTGCAAATTTATTTGATAGCAAAGACTACTGAGTGTATTGTCAGTAAATGTTAATGTGCAAAAGCGTAGGAGCAGAGACTCCCGTTGGAGGGCACCGGCTAAGTGGTACCTGGTTTTTATGTGCTTTAACTCTCAGCTCAATGTCAGACCTGGCACCAAGAACCATAAGCTGGGTACGCTCTCTTAACAGTTTGAGTATGGGAAGGTGAGGTACGTCCTGGTAACGTCCTGCCTGCCCGTTGTCTCGTTGGGGCAGTTTCTTGCGGAATTGAGGCGGCCAAAGCCGTGCAGTGTTTTGTCACACAGAGGGTTGCCCCCCACACGCTCTTTGTTCCTGACTTTGCTTTGCTTCCTGACTGGAATAACTTTTCTGGTGGCCTTTCATACTCTGGAACATCCAAGCTTTTGTCACAGCCTGCTCCATCTGCACACACACAACAAGAACCACTCGAATCAGGTTTTGATCCCGCCTCATTCCCGTGTAAATACAGAATTTGTATAGTCTCTCCATATCACCGATATTTCCACTGGACTGTTTTCTTCTGGAATCTAAAGGCTGTTTGGCATTTCTGTGCCTGCAGCATATGAATGTGTGGGTGTCTGTGTCCTGTGATGGACAGGCCCGTCCAGGGCGTACCGATGGACAGGCATCCCATCAAGCNGATCATGGAGGATAAACTAGTACTGGTGTATTTTAGTGTATTATCAATGGCAGAAATGGGTACATGCAAAGTTACCTGAAACAGGAAATGAAAAATACATTTTTCATATTGAGGCTGCTACTTACTTTAGGACTTTGCTTCTGATGTCCTGCATATGGCAACTGGAGCCGGAGAGGCGGCTTTTATAGCTGGGCTGCTTAGATGGGCGGCCCCTGGTCTAGAGGTGGGGGATCACAACCCATCAAGGCGGTCACAGGTGTGGCCCCGTTAAGGTTTGTCACCTGCATGCTGTCCCCCCTCCTCTGCCATATCACATCCAGCGCCTGACAATGTGGGTCATTTTCTGTGGGTCTGACTCTTCCTCTGAACTATGACACCACAGCCAGCGTCATGCATAAGGACTAGTGACCAGTTTAAACCCCAGTGGGATCCCTGTAAGCCTACCTATATAAAAGCAGCAAAAATATTGCATTGAAGAGTTCAGCATCCTGAGCTGCATAATTTAATAATTTTCTGAAAACGCACTGCATTGTAATTGTACATACAGTAAGTACATATGACCAGTTGAAAACTTTGGATCATAAAGTGTCTCTTTGACAGTTAAACTGCAAAATCTGACCCTAAAATCTTTCTCTCCTGTCCTGTGTTCTGCAGCAACACTGTGCAGCTCAGTTCTGCTGTCAGTCACCCCCCCCCCCCAGGCTCCCATTAAAAGAGTGATCTAAACGAACCACAGGCAGTGTCATGCATAAGGACCTGTGACCAGTTTAAAACCCGTTGGGGCAGTTTAAAGCCCAGTGGGGTCTCTCTAGGCCCACCTACGTTTGTACATTGCATTGAATCGTATTTCCTTTTTTGTGGTTATATCAGACTTTGATTTAAAAAAACTCCTTTTATAACGAAACTGTATCTCTGTGTCCCTGATGATATATTGATAAAGAATGAGCTCATAGTATTGCTTAGCTAAACATGTGCTCTCAGAACAGGACTAATGTAGACGTTTGGGAATCTTGCACACTGTGTAACCTTAACTGCAAGAACTTGATATATCAAATGTATAATATTTGATAATGCACCATTGCCTGAATTATAAACAATGTAGAGTTATAGCATCTAAGTACCTTAAATGTTCCCTTATTTTCAAGATGCCTTATATTCATATTTAGATTCATGTGCCACCCCAAAATGACCTCTGGTCCCACAAAAATGTCACTGTGTTCCTCAGAAAATGTGACAATAAAAACTTAAACTTTGAAATTGATTATTTATTTACTTCTAGGGGTCTCTAAAAATCACTTGCTATGTTAACTTACAGCTATTAAATGGCACATCAGTTTATTGGCTTCTTAAACATGACTGAAAAACATTTCTTTAAGGTACCAGATTATGTATATTGTACATAGATTTATATCCTAATGACTGTTAGCCCTGTATCTGCAGATAAGTAGTTAAATCCCTAACCTGTGAAGGCTGGATTATATCTGTAAGAGCAGGGGGCACATACACCTCTTTTGTATTGTGAAGTTGTACAACTTAGGATTGTGAAATGTTAAACTTAAAACAGGCTGTGACCCTTGGTTATAATCAAAATCAGACTCCAACTCCTTTCTTTCTTGTCCTGTGTTCTGCAGCAACACTGTGTTCTTCCACTGGCAGTCCACCGTCCCGCGCCCCCCCCCCCCCAGGCTCCCATTAAGAACGATCTAAAGAAAACCTCATTAGTAGGTCAGTGAAGGAAGATCCCAGGGGGAGCACTTTGTTTTGACAAACAGACACAGTGTTTCATAGTCTTGCCAATCTCCGCATTGAGAAACAAGGGGCCGCGTGCTGTTTACATGCGTGCTTGAGTGTGAATGTGTGTGTGCGCTTATATTCCTCTCTGTTGTTGCACTGTGTTTTTGTACTTGTGCATGTTATAAACCTTACTGTTATATGCAAAATAATTTCCACCTGGGATTAATAAAATATTTTCCTGTTTTGAAATTTACATTCTGTGAGGGGGTGGGGGCCCCCCCCCCCCCCCCCCCCCCCCCCCCCCCC